CTTTCTGTGACCGCTAGCCCAGGGACCTGATAAATGAAGCCATGGACTGTCTGTCCTTTTACAAAAATACCTTGGTGCACAGTAGTGGCTTCGCGGTGAGGAGCAGTCAAAGGCAGAGTTGCCGAAAGACAATGAAGTCACCCTCCATCGCCACCCTCCATCGTCCCCCAGCAGGAGGCCCCGTGACCAGGTAGACTTTCCTCTCCGTAGAAACGCATCCACCTGCATCCTGACCACAGAGGTGTCGCAGCGGGCACGGATGGGACTGGGCCGCAGCGCCGGGTGCAGGCCTGCGGGCCCCGGTATTTCCTGAAAGGGGGGTCTCAGGCGTCCCCACCCCAGGGGAGGGGGCTAAGGGCGGAGGGGCCCAGTGAGCACCCCTGGGTGCTTGCCACACAGGGCCTTCAGGACAGCCTCTAGGGTGACCCCATGATGGGGGTGGGGAGGAAGGGGGCTCTCCGAAGTTGTCCAACCACAAGGTGCAGCCTGGATGCCCTGTGGTGTCTGATTCTAGGGCCCGGGTGGAGCGGGTCCCCTAGCTGACTGCGAGGGAGGTTAGGGGCCTGTCCCTGCCTCACAGCAAGTTGGGGGGCGCTCAGCGTGGGCCGCCCCCAGGGCCTGGCCCGGGTTCTCTCTGCCCAGGGCACCTACCTGCCCCTCCCTCGGAGCCCGGCAGGGATGTAGGTCAGGGAGAGCGATGGGGCCTTGTGACCGGGGCGGAGCTTCGCTGATGGCGCCACCTGCGTCTATTCCTGGGCCCCCGGTGACTGCAGAATCTCAGGCCACAGGGCCGGCTGGGGGCTGCAGCAGGCGGAGGGCAGGGCGGCACGAGGGGCGTTTGGGGCGCCCTGCCGACAGCTGCCCGCCCTGCTGCCTCCAGCCTCAGCCCGATGGCTACAAACACATGTCCATAAACACGGAACTATTTGTAAAAATAAATCCAACTCGGCAGCTGCAGTGTGTGGGGAGAGCAGGAGCTAAGGGAACGCTCGGCCCCAGGGGCTCAGCACCCCACGCCTGACCCCCACCTGCCCAGGCCTCACGTCCAGGAGAACGAACCAGCCAGGAGGGATGGGCGGGCCCCAAGGGGCAGAGGGCAGGGCGGCGCCCCTGGAGACCCAGCCAGGCGGAAGCAGCACGTCCTCCAGAAGGCCCGGGTGCAGGGGTGGGCAACTGGGAACCCCCCTGGGGCCACACCCACACCCCATGGCAACCGCACAGTGCCGCTGTCCTCTGCTTCCCACCTCGTCCGTGTGTGCCTGGGCTAGGAAGCGCTTTGCGGCTGAAATGTGAAGGCCCAGCTCAGTCTGAGGCCCCCCAGGGGAGCTGCGCCCCAGGGGAGGGCGAGGCACCAGCCCCCCGCCCTCGGCAGCCGTCTGGGAGGGAGGTCCAGAGCCGGTGCACCCCAGAGTGCCTGTTGCCCACCTGCTGGCCCTCCCAGCAGCGCTGGGCTCCTGCCCGAGGCAGGCAGATTTCAACCAGGGAGAATTTTCCCAGTGGTTGAGCCCCAGTTTGGTCCAGGAAACCTGGCCATCGGTGGGACAGGTGACCGTGAAGTCCAGCGGCTGGTGTCAAGGCCGCCTGGCCTCCGGGCCTGCTGCCTGCAGCTGCTTACCTGGGCCAGGCCCTGGTCAGCTGCCGTGGGCCCGCTGACAGGCGAGGGGCTTGTTCTTAGCAATGGGGGCGCTGAGGCTTGAACCCCACTGGGACTCCAGAACCTGCACGTTGGCCCCCAGCTGTGACTGCCCTCCCTGATGGGGACAGCCTGTGCCCAGGTGAGGCGGGCTGCACGGGGCAGCTCAGCAGCTCCACGGGGGTCAGAGGCTGTCTCCCAGCTCCCACCTCTCGGGGTCGCTCTGCGCGGAGCGTCAGCGCCTTGGAAATCCAGGGGGGCTGCGGTACTAGTAGCCCCTCGCTCGCCTGCCCTCCCCACAGCCAGTCCCGTGGCTCCTGACCCAGACCCAGGAGTTCAAATCCCAACCGAGAGCGCAGACCGCAGGCCGAAGACCGACGTTCTGAGCTTCCCGTGGGTCAGGCGGGGGTGGGGGTCTCAGTCTGCTGGGACTTGCCCTCGGCCCGGCTCTGAGACCGCCGGTAACCCTCCCGGAAGTCGGCGTCCATGTCTCGTCTTGCAGGTAGGGAAAGTTAGGGCTTGTCTGGAGTTGCACAGCCATGGACCCCGGGCTGCCGCCGGAGAAGGCCCCGGAGGAGAACTGTAGGGTGCTGGGCACGCACCATTCGGGGCCTGACCGGCCTGGATCAGGAAGGGCCTCCCTGAAGAAGGACATTTAATCTGAAGGACAAGGAAGGATATGTCAGTGGGGGCGGGGGGGGGAGGAGGAACATTCCAGAAAGGAGCACGTGACACGAACGCTCCAAGCTCCAAGGCATCCTCTTGTCCTTTGTGAAATGGGGATGGTCTGGTGTGGCTGCTGTGGAAAACAGCTTGGCACTCCCTCCCAGAGGTGCACAAAACTAAAAATGACCCAGCAATTCTGCTCTGAAATCTGTTCTCAGAAGTAAAAACAGGCCCTCAGCAAGTCACTATAGAGGAGTACACAGCTGTCCACGGTCGCCTAAAGGTGACAGTCACCCAAACGCCCATCCGCAGATGAGCAAAGGGAGATGTAGGGATACGCGGAGCATTATGCAGACATGAAAAAGGCATGAAGCCCCGACACGTGTTCTCTCTTACTTGGCACCTTTGCGGGAGCCTCTTGCCTCTCCCGCCTGAGCAAGGGGGGCCCTGGCCCCGACAGAGTGCACGACGTGTGGGAGAAGCGGACGAGAGAAATGCCTGGGGGACGTCCGGCGGGGGGAGGTGGCGGCCGCGGCCGGCTTCTCTGCCCCAGAAGGGGGGACGTTGCTCATGTGCTATCCCGGGCCGGGGCACCCTGGCCGCAAGGGCGCAGGCAGGGGCCCTGTGGCAGGAGCGAGCCCCGAGTCTGTGTGGGGAGGAAGCGGTGGGGGGAGGGGCTGTGGCCGCAGCACTGACGGTCCCGGGCCCTCTGTCCTGCCGCAGCCCTGCTCCTGGACATCATGACCGTGGCCGGCGTGCAGAAACTCATCAAGCGGCGAGGCCCGTTCGAGACGAGCCCCAGCGTCCTGGACTACCTCACCATGGACATCTACGCCTTCCCCGCCGGGCACGCCAGCCGCGCGGCCATGGTGTCCAAGTTCTTCCTCAGCCACCTGGTGCTGGCGGTGCCCTTGCGGGTCCTGCTGGTGCTCTGGGCCTTCTGCGTGGGCCTGTCGCGAGTGATGATCGGGCGGCACCACATCACTGACGTCCTCTCCGGCTTCGTCATCGGCTACTTCCAGTTCCGCCTGGTGGAGCTGGTCTGGATGTCCTCCAACACCTGCCAGATGCTCATCTCCGCCTGGTGAGCTGGCCGGCCCACGGCGCCGGGCCAGGGTGGCCCGAGAGTGCCCGGGGAGCTGGGCCGGCGGCCCCGACTCATCTCCCCACCTCGCTGGAGGCCGGGGACCTGTGTCAGCCTGCCTGGGGGTGCCGGGGCCCTGCCCCTGGGCCCAGACTCCGCGTGTCCCCTCTAGGCAGGCCGCCCAGCTGTGGGGACACCCCGCTTAGCGTGTGCTCTGGAGGAAACAGCAGGAAGCACGGTGGGGGCGGGGCGGGGCCGCCGTCCTCTGCCGTCGCGAGCCGAGCTCTTGGCTGTGCCCGTTACCCCACCGCCCGATGCCCGGCACGATGCTGCACCACCGCCCAGCACAGGTGCCGTCGCCGTTACGGTCACGGGGCGCGCCGGGCAGCTCTCCAGGGGCGCCGGCCGGACAGCAGCCCGCAGGCCTTCGGGAGGAAGGGCCCGGGACAGTTGCAGGCCTGAGGCGCCCGCCGCCAAGTGGGGCCGCCCTGGGCTCTGACGAGCACTCGGAGTGTCCCCACGTTTTCTGAGCTTGTCCGACCACAGAGCCCTTTCCACAGGGGTTCAGCTCTAGTGACCCCCAAGGAACCCCCGTTTTCTCAAGGGCGCTTCTGCAGCTACTAACCCGAGCCCAAGGCCAGAGGCGCAGGCTGGCCTCTCCCAGCACCCGGCTGGGGAGCCGGGGAGGGGGCCGGGCATCGGGTGTCCAGCCAAGGCCGGGAGGCCCACGCATGGCCCACGGGCCTCGGCGGTGCTTTGACCCCAGGGGCCGGACTCCGCGTGACCTCGTAGGTCGTTTCCAAGCCAGCTGCTCTGGATACGCATTTCATGTGACAATACAGGTGACGTCAACCCGCCTGTCCTGCGTGTTTTTGCCTCGTGCGACAGGAGCTTCCAGGCGGGAGTGTCCACTTCACTTCCCAGTGGCTTCTCCGGGCAGGCGCGGGCAGAGGCTCTCGACGCCCCGGGCTGGTTCCTTCCCCTGTGGCTCTGGGTCGCCCCACGATGACGCCACGGAGGTCTTCCCCGCAGCCCCGAGGCCCTTGCTCTCCCTGCTGTGTCCCGGCCCCAGAGGGAGTGACAGTGACTGGAGTGACAGTGACCGGCAGACGCAGCCATGCCTGGAGACCTCTAGGGTGCTGGGGGTGGGTCCCAGGAGGTGGACTTCTGGGCCCCCAGGGCCTCGAGTGAGCCGGGATGGAGAGGGCTGAGGCAGGCGCCGCCCCCGCGTGGGTAAGCTGGAGCCCCGGCGCCCGGTCGGTTTGAGGCTCAGGCTCAGGCTCCCAAGGGAGCACCCCTTGGTACCTCACAGAGCCCTGACTGACTCGGGTGCCCTTGCAGAGATGAGAAAACAAGGCCCAGGGAGGGAAGGGGACTTGCCCAGGCCGGCACCCCCACTCCAGCCTCACGGGGCCTTCACGAGGCCCTTGGGAGGGGAGCCAGGCCAGCTTCTGCCTTTGGGGCCTCCATGCCTCCCCCCGCAGCAGAGGCTTAACGCAACAGGATGCAATTTTCCACATGGTTCTGGGAGTCAGAAGCCCCAAATCAAGGTCCCCCCAGGGTCTTTCTGCCGCTGGGATTGTGGGGAGCAGCCTTGGTTCTGCCTCCCAGCCTCAGGGGTGCTGCCCCACATCCGCCCCCACCCTGCCTGTCTCCTGACCAGCACCCGCCCTCCCCCAAAAGACCCTGTTTCCAAACATGGTCACACCCATGTACAGGGGTCAGAGACACCGTCAAGCCCTAACACATGAGACCGTGCAGAGGAGGAAAACAGCTTCCTCTCCCCCGGGACAGGGCAGGGCCGACACCCATTCCTGCTGGTGGGCGGGTCCCCTGGCCACAGAGCCCGCCCAGGGCCCGCCTGCTGCCCACCCCCCAGCAGAAGCCAGACCCTCACTGGCCTCCCCACTAAGACCAAGGCCGCCCACCCCCACCCACCTTCTCCAGGCCCGCTTCTCTCTGAGCCACTGAGGGGCCTCCCCCTCCTGCATCAGGCGACCCCCACCCCATCTTTGCCCTGAAGGGACTCGGGGTGTCCACCTGGCCAGGACACCAAGGTTAAAATCTCCAACTTCCAATCTTGACTCTTGGCAGTTCTGGGACCTTTAAAATACATTCTGCACCTGTGTAAGGTGCACGTGTGCCCATGAGGCCGAGCAGAGGCTGAGTGCTCCCTCCCCCAGCCAGCTCCCACTGTGAACCAGGCCAGGCTGCAGCCCCGACGCATCCCCGGTAGGGACGGGACGGACGGTCCCCAGACGGTGCTTCTGCAGAGCGTGGGAGTGGTGGTGGCTGAGGTCTTCCCGAGGCCGTTTCTGTAGAATGCAGGGCCCTGGCAGACCCCTCGATGGGGGAGGGGGGTAGATTCTTGAGTGTCTTAAACAACTAAGAGAGGATGCTGGCAGGCACCTGCTGTGGGGTATCAGTCGGGGTGGGGCGTGCGGGTGGGAGACCAGGGAGGGAGGAAAGGGTTGGAGGGGCAGGGGAAGGAGGGGGGGCAGGAGGAGGGAAGGGGAAGGCGTCTGAGCCGCCTCCAGGAAGCCCCAGTGCACATTCCTGGAGAGAGCCGGCTGGGGTGCCGGGTGAGGATGCAGGTGCAGGGTGGGGGCGAGACGGGCCACAGGGAGCCCGCGCTGCGAAACGGGCTGAGCACCCCATGGTCAAGATGCCTCCCCCTTTCTAAAGAACACGTCTGGGGGCAGCAAGATTCTGTGAAGGCCTTTTATGATGGCCAGCGAGACCCTTCCGCAGCCCGCTGCTCTCAGGGCGATGCCGGCCGCTTCTGTTTTTTCCGCACGATTTGTGCGGAGTTGGTGTCCTTTTCTCGTCGCCAGACCACGAGCCTCTGCCATGCGGACGGGCCCCAGGCTGCAGGGGGAGCAAGGGCCCCCAGCAAGCACAACCCCGCCTTGGCAGGCCTGGGACTGGGCTGGGGGGTCACCCCAACCTGGCCCTTCACAGTGTCACTCTTTGGTCTCCTTAAAGTTCTTTGTCAGGATAAAGAGTTGGGGTTCTGATCCCCCCGTCCCCCACCCCGTGACTATTACCCATTGATGGCGCTGGGGTGGGAAGTTTTTTCTCAAGCACAACCATCATGTCTGTAGTAGGCTGAATTGTACCCCCAAATCTACATGTGGAGGTCCTGACCCCCAGACCCAGACTTGACTAGAAGACAGGTCACCTAAGGAGGGAATTAAGTCAAAATGGGTCATTAGGTGGCCTTAATCCAACAGGACAGCTGTCCTCACGAGAGGAGGAAGGGGGACAGGCACGCAGGGAGGAAGGCCGTCCCCCTCGACGCCCGGGCCCCGGAACCGCGAGGAAATTATTCTGTTGTTTAAACTGCCCGGCGCTGTGCCCTGAGTTGGCAGCCCCGGGGAACTAGGGGCTCCTCAGGCCATCTCAGGGGAGATTGGGGCACACCTGGTGATTTGGGGGGGGCCTGTGTCTGGGGTGTGGGAAGAGCATGGGCCCAGGGCCCACCCTGCAGGGGGCCCCACGCCATCACAGAGCCCAGGGCGAAGTCCTCTTGCCCCCAGCCCCTTCCCTGCAGAAGAAACCCCAGAGGGGCAGGGAAGCGAGGGCAGGCGCCAGGAGGACAGGGACGCTCCGATCAGCCACCATCTGGCTCCAGGAGAGAGGAACCTCTGGACACGCTGGCCACGGCGGTTACGTAACCCACGTGTGAGTCATGGGCCACGCGCCGCCCGGCACCCCCTGCCCAGTGTGCGGGGCCCCTAAGTAGGGCGCTGGCACAGGGTAGGCGCCGAGAGCACTCGGGGTGGCCCGGAGCTCACGCGCGGCCACGTGCGCACAAAGCCACCACTGGTGGCAAGTGTCCTTGCGCGCCGGCACCCCCAGACCCTCCCGCGGCACCGTCCTGCACGAACGTGGACTCTCCCACCCGCAGGGCTCCCCGGCTTTGCGTATAAGCAGACGCAAACAAGGACACGGTATGGTCTGCCACATCCCCACGACACCCGCCCGCGCCCCGAGCCCGCCACCCGCCTGCAGGCACCGGCCCCCCGCCCACGTTGCAGGCGCCTGGCCTCACACACTCCCGTGCTCTCTTGCACATCCAGGGATCAGGCTTGCCAGACTTAGCCAAGAAAATATGGAGTGCAATATTTGGAACAGACTTACCCTAAAATCTGTTATTTTATTTGAAATGGAAATTTCCCTGAGGCCCAGTCCTTCACCTGGCGCCCGTGTGGACAGTCTCTGCGTGTGTGAGGCCCCCAGGCCCAGCCCAGGACACGCCGCTGCCCCCGGAGAGTTCCCAAGACTCTCTCTGGGTCTGGTGAGCGGACCGCAGCTGCACGCTGGCCACAGCGCAGGTCACGGCCTGGCCCGGACCCGGGACGGCGTCCAGCCAGGGTCCGCGGAGCCCTGAGAAACCCCTCCCGCCAACAGCCCAGCTGTGCGGTCTGGCAGCAGCGGGTCCCTCGGAGCCCCACCCAAAGGCACGGCCTGAGGAGGGCGTCCAGGCGGGGTCAGAGGCGCAGCCCCAGCCCGAGGGGTCCACGTGGCCTCCCCTCCATCTGCTGCTGCTTTTGCCGTGGGACGAGGCAAGACAAAGGTCTCCGGGAACCCTGACCTCAGGTGGACCCCACGGCAGGGCCTGATGAGACAGGTGAGTGAGCTCGCCGGACAGCAAGCGCGGAGGGAGGGTCCCCGGGAGGGCAGACCCAGATCTGGCCCCTGTGACCCGGGGCCCCTCCCCCCAGGAGAGGAATTCTGGCCCAGCAGCTTGTGCGAAGAGTCTCCGGAGAGCCGGGGTCAGAACAGGGTGAATTTCTTCAAGGAAGCATCTTTTTTCCTGATCACCATGTTTTTAGTTACATAAGAACGCATTTTTTTATTAAGAAGCAGTCCAGACAGGAAACCCAGGAACATTTTTTGGTTCTTTTCGATACTTCTCCATGCATTCATAAAGCAGAGCTGTGTTGGGCCTCCCTGGGGTCTGGGTCAGCCTCAGGCTGTCACCTCTATGGCCTGAGTTCACTCCCCGGCCAGGAAGAGACCCTGTCTCCCTGCTGCTCCCCCTAACAGCATATTTCAGGCAGTTGCCTGTTCTGCACCCACTCTCTGTGGTGGGGTACCTCTGGCCCACACTCCAGTTGTATGCAAAAAAAAAAAAAAAAAAAAAAGAGATGTGCTTGGCCAAGCAAGTGGACACATCCTTCTTTCATTTCCTGACACGGCGCAGGCAGCTCTCGGCTCTGTGTCCACAGCACCAGCAGCAAGCAGCCGCGGCCTTCGCCCGAGCGGCCTCCGCAGAGCCCGGGCACCAGAGCGTCCTCTTCGGTCTTACAGGTGCCGCCAGTGTGTTTCATCGGAGGCAAAATTCACTGAACAATTAACCAGTTTAAAGTGAGCAGCTCAGGGCCGTTAGTTCGGGCACAGGGTGGAGCAACCCCGCCTGGGTGGTTCCCAGCGTGCTCAGCCTCCCGGGACAACGCTGCCTGGCAGCACGGTGCCCTGGCCAGCTCGCTGCCCGCGGGCCCCGCCTGCTCGGACATGCCGCCTTGGTGGGGTCTGGTGACATGGCCTGGCAGGTCCTGGTGCCTTCGACTACCATCTGCGTCCGGCTCCCCGAGGTGGGGCGTGGGGCTGTGTCATTCCTCTTCGAGCTGACCAGAACCCCCCGGCGCGAACGCAGCAGGGTGGTCCACCGTGGGCGGGTGTGTGGGTGGTTGGCACCTTTCAGCGACGGTGAAATGTGCCTATCAACACCTCGTGCAGGTATGTGCTGAGTGCCCGCTGGGGTTCCGGGAGGGCTGATTCCTGGAGGACTTGCTGGGTGTGCGGCTGCCCTGTGTGCTGTGGTGGGCGGGCACACTGCTTCACAG